CGACATTGCCAAAACCTTGCCGTTTTAATTCAACAATGGCTGCCTCGTAAACTTGATTTGATTTTGCAAATTCTTGATCACCAATGATGTCAACGTTCTTTTTAAGTAGAAAATGCCTCTGAAGACCAAACCTTAAACCCATAAGAGCAGATTTTTTGTAGTTTTCGCCATTCTTTTTCCTGGCATTGGGGAAAAAAGCAGTCAAAAGTTCGTTGAGTTCTTCTTTCGACAGATTTTCGAGGTATTCAACGTCTTTCGGCGGAGATTCCTCGGGAGAAATTTCGTTACAAAATGCTATAAGGGTTCCCACAGCATTTTTTGTCGACTTTTGAGTGTTTTCCGAATCTTTTTTTTCTATTAAGAGCTGAATTTCATCGCTTGATAAGCTCGAAAAACGCCGTTGTTTTTTAGTTTTCGGCTCCATAGCTGAGCGGGCAACAATTTTTTACTTGTTGCCCGGCGGGAAACATTGCATTTATCTAAAGTCACGTGACTACGAATGAACCAATCACATTTAACATACACATTACCTATATAACAACATATCTTGTCTACAACTTTGAGAAGGTACAGATAACTCCTTCTAAAATCCTCAGTTCTAGCGATATCTCTGTAAAATCACAAGGACGTTAATGCTAAGTCTTTTGGCTATATCACTATATAACTAACACTTTCAAGTACGCGATCAAGGTATTTAAAACAAAAATACTGCGAAGCCAACGTAACGGGGCAAAGACAACGGTAAAATTAAATATTGCCAATTGGTTGCAAGTAGAAGACTTATAACGACAGGATGAATCTTAAATAACCTTAAACTAGAAGAATAAATGTTCACATCCAAGACAACGATCTGTGCCAAGGTTTAAAATCTGCTCTGTAAACGTACGACGAAGTGGAGAAATCTGCGCATAAGCTGTTTATTTGTTGATTTCAACGAATATGGCAGCCCTCTTTCCAATAATATTCGCTTATCGCACAGAATAACACCAACTAATATAATAGTTCAGTGCAATGATAAGTTACCTCTTGAATTACATCTAAGAAACTGTGTTGGAAATGTAAGTGCTGACCCATTCCATAAGATTACCATTTTACATCGTTGTATAAAACATTTTGATCGCATGTAAGGAATTACATTTCTCATCCCAGAGATATAGCCCAATGACTTAACATTGACGCCCTTGTGATTTTATAGAGATACAGCTAGAACTGAGGATTTTACGAAGCGATATCGGCACCTTCCCAAAGTTGCAGACAAGATATGTTGTTATATAGCTAGCGTGAACACCAAACGTGATTGGCTGATTTGTGGTCACGTGACTTCAGATAAATGCAATGTTTCCCGCCGGGTACCCTGGATTCCAGAGCCTTCGACAGTAAATAATAAATTGAAATGTCGCGAAGGCTCTGGGCGATTCTTTGATTAAACCGCGCCAATCACAAAACAGAATTAGTGGTTTTAGTACAGAATCTGTACTAAAACCATTAATTCTGTTTTGTGATTGGCGCGGTTTAATCAAAGAATCGCCCCGTTGAACCAGAGCCTTCGCGACATTTCAATTTATTATTTACTGTCGAAGGCTCTGGAATCCAGGGTACCCGCCGGGCAACAAGTGAAAAATTGTTGCCCGGCCACGTACATAAATAAACAAAATGGAGGCACAACTCAGATAATTAGAAACTACGATTTTCCAAGTTTGTGTTCAAATAAAGAATATAAAAGAGAAGAAAAATACACAACAGGCAACAGGATAT